TGATTGATTGAAATGGCCTAGGGTCTCCTGTTTAAGCAGGGTGGGGTTGGTCTAGAGGACCTCTGAGGCCCCTCCCAGCTCTCTTATTCTCTTAAAGGAACGCCCATAAAGTTAAAGGCCACCTGAGGCCCTAATCCGGCTTCTAAAACTCCCCTTCTCCCTCCGATCTCTAGGTCCTCCGGCCGTCCCTGGAAGCCACGGACCCAAGGGAGAGCCGGGGTCCCCGGGGCTTCCCGGTTTGCCCGGGAAAAGCGGCCCCCGAGGAGCCCCCGGAAGCTCTGGAGACATCGGCCCCAAAGGCGAACGAGGGGAAGCCGGAGACGCCGGCGGCCACAAGCTCGCGTACCAATCCGCCTTCACTGTCAAGCGCCAGACCCACGAGCACCCGGTGAAGAATGCGCCGGTGGTCTTCCGCGGCAACGTGACCAACACCTACCACGATTACGACACCTCGACGGGCAAATTCACCTGCCGCATCCCGGGCGTCTACTACTTCGTCTTCCACACGTCCTTGACGGCCAACCTGTGCGTCAACCTCTACCGCAACCGGGAGCGGGTGGCCAGCTTCTGCGACCACATCTCCAACCCCAAACAAGTCAGCTCCGGTGGGGTCCTGCTCCAACTGGAAGCCGGCCACCAAGTCTGGTTGGCGGTCAACGATTACAATGGGATGGTGGGTGTGGCCGGCGCCGACAGCGTCTTCTCGGGCTTCCTATTGTTTCCCGATTAGCTTCTCCTCCAGAAAGAGCCCAATCGGCTCCGGAGCCTGCCTGAAATCGACCTTTTCCTGGGATTCCCCCGTAGCTTTTCTTCTATCCTTCGAGGTTTTCTCCTGCCTTCCCCACTGATTGAAAATAAAATAAAATAAAATAAAGAGTTTGTCATGGCAATTGAAATAAATAAATAATAATAATAATCCAGGAGTCTTTGGTTTTGTGGTTCACCATTGCTTACAAGAAGGAGGCATCTCTCAAGTTTTGCCAAGTTAAAGATGGGTGGACCTCCAATTCCCAGAATTCCCAAGCTATATTGGCCGGGGGGATTCTGGGAGTTGGAGTCCACCATCTTAAAAAGTTGCTAAAAGAATGGCTGGGGGATTCTGGGAATTGAAGTCCACCCCTCTTAAAAAGGTGGCAAGAAAATGGCTGGGGGATTCTGGGAATTAAA